AGACTATAAATATCGATAAAAATGTACATATTTTATTTGTGTCAGAATTTTATTTGCATATTAAAAAGTGACGAAATAATTTGACGATGAACGAATTGGAAATTATTTAAAATTTTGGCTTGGTTAAAATTTTACGAATGTACTTAAAAATTATTCTTCAAGATAATGTTCCGCAAAACAAATCTCGATCTATCTGCTTATTAGGATTAAATTGTAAAAAGATTCTGCTTATTTCACCAATTACTCAACGTTTCTTTTACATCATCTTTTAAAAAGTAATCAGTAAGACTTATATAAGCAATATTAAAAATCATAAACAATCAAAGAAAAAAAAATGTGAACAAAAACAAAACTTTACCATGGTATGTAAAATAAATTATTGAATAAAATAAAATAATCAGAATGACGGGAAAAATTCTTTCCATCTCGTTCTCTTTTTATGATGAAAAACATATTCCTTCTTTAATTCATCGAAAAACCGTAACATGTGCATAAGATTTGTAATATTGAGAATATCGTCCAATACACGTGCAATACATTTCGACAAAAAGATGCTTGTATCCGGTTGTGTGACGTCCTTCGACTCGCATACTTACTTACCACGGTGGTCAATTTGCTGGGCATCGTGGTGGTGGTTGTGGTGGCCGTCGTGTCCGTGGTATCGCTGCTCTCGCTGTTATTGCTGGGTCTGGCGCCAACAAGAAGGGCCCCCTCCTCTAAATTTTTTCCACGAACGAGTCTTCTCGATGCAGACCACATGTCCGATGAACTCTTAGCATTGGCCTTGGCGAGTTTCTGCGCGACGCCAGTCGTCCATACACTGGCCTCACTGCTGCCCGTGCTGCTGTCGCTTCCGGTACTGCAATGCCGCCATCTTCGTTCTGTTCGACACGACAAGTGAAACGTAAATCTCTTTCGCGCAATAATAATAGAAAGCTTTTTCTTTTTCTCATAGAAATACAAAAATACAATATTAACAATATACTACGTGTATCATCGAACGTTCTCGTCGAAAAATATCGAAAAAAAAAGAAATTTAGAAAAATATAAATACACACTATCACAGGGAAGAGCATTGACTAGAAAAGGTTTCCTCAGCATTGGACTTCCACCATCTTGGCTATCCTCGCTGCACGCTCTCGTTATAAGTATTCTAGGGCTTCTTCTAGGTGTCTCGTTCATCGCTATGGAGCAACCAGCGCCCACGTCCGCACCTATGAAGTCGCTTCTGTAATGCGGGCCCATCAGGCTCGCCGCACTAGCGCTCGACCTCACTAATTTACTGCTTTCACCTGTGTCGCAGGTAAATTATAGCCGTTTATTATCACGCGATCAGGGGCAGGCCGGTGTTATCAGTAACAATAACCTGATTCGGAAGTTGGGACTCGAAGCGTATTACACGAAGCGGCGGGTTGCAATCTGGTTCGATGAAAGCCGAGATTATTGCTGTCGAAGCTGTTTCCGGTTCTGCAGGATCCCAACGCGAGCAGCGCCTCGCTTAGCCTTCGCTGCAACGGCGGGAAAGGGAAGAAAGAGCCGGTTC